ATTTTGAAATATAATTATATTAATAGTATTGGTGTCATTTATTTGTTTGAGAAACAGTGAGAGAAATTTGTTATTGTAAATGCTGCATGAACAAAATGGAAGTTAGAATGCATATAATGTACTTTTGTCAATTACAATAGTTTGTAAACTTGACGATAAAAATGTAAACTCAAATTTAAATCACTGACAATTACATGAACGCAAAATCATTTTTAAAAAGGTGTACATAAATATTCATATAATTTGTATAGAAACAGACGTTTTGGTAAAGTCACTTGAGTTTTCATGTTCTGCCTTAAATAGTACATTATGAAAATGACGCTCGTTTCAAACCATAGAATATGTTAAAAAAAAATTGTGTTCGATAATATATAAAATCTACATCAGTGCTTATACCTGATTTAGTATTTATTTGTCGAATGCAACTATATTAAAGATTTTGATAAAGAAGTTATTTTTAAATGACACGATATTCTAATGAGAGTTTTCCTCTGTGAGAAGTGTGAGTTTGGAAGTTATAAGTAGAATCAACTGTTTGTACAAAATGTCCAGAATTGGTAACAATCTTGAAGGGGATCGATGTCAAACAAGAATGTTCTTTAAAGTTGCCTACAATATAAGGAAATCTTTTGTAAGTGAATTTGAAGTTGGTTCAATCAACTCATAACATCAATCAAACAAACGGACCGTAGTGAATTTAAATAAGTCCCTTAATCAAGATTTAATCTTTTTTAAAAAGTATATTGTTGATTATAGTTGGAGTGAAGTAGATGTTTTTACGCTTGCTTTCGTGGCCGGTGTAACTTAAAAGGAGGTAATTTTTACATAATTTTCTTATTGACGATGCGGATATCATCATGAAACTTGAAATGCATGATCATAAAACGGTTGTTACTTCGTTGCTAGAAAAACAAAAAAGTACTTCCTAAGGTAATATGATGAAGATATAACTTTTTCCCTGTCTAAAAATGACTTTAAAATTGGGACAGCCCTAAATATATATATATCTTGATTTTAAACATCTTTGCATGAGTCGAATGTTTTGCTTAATATGTAAGTGAATTGTTTTATTTGATTTTATTGGAAGGTATCTATATATTTAATATGCGTATCTCCTTTTCAGTGAAACACTTTCAAAAGCAGAAAACAGACAACCAGCACTTACTAGCAACTTCCAACTACAGAGTTTTTGAACATTTATCGCGTCATGTGCAATTTTTGTCCCATAAAGCTGTTGTATACAGATATATTTTCGCCCCGTCCGTTTTATTCGCACCTTTCGCCTCTTCATGGTTGAGCAATTTAAAACAGGGAAAATTCAAGGAACAGAGCATAATTTCTTAAACAGAACTATGACTATAGGCGAATTTAAAACGGGGCAAAATTGCCGTTAGTGCAAACGGGTGAAAATAACACGAGGCGAAAGTAACCCCGTGTATAGTATTTCTTGCCGTGTATAGTATTTCTAGCCCTTTATTTCTTTTATTAAATAAATTAAATTTTAAATTAATTTTTATTTCTGTGTATGAATAGTATGGAATGACTCTTATTGAAATTTAGAGATAATAGAGAGTTTCTGTCAAAAGTTTTTTAAACAATGCACATTATGCGTAAATTCAACAAGGACTTCTGTAAACAGAGATAAAAGCAGGTGCCAATTACATAATACAAAGTAAATATATATATATATGTTTTCTCTTTTTGTCCACTCTCGAAAATATGAAAAATAAAAAAAAAAATACTGACTGTACAAATTTATACATATTTTGTTGATGATTTTAGTGGCTCAAATAGGGAGAGAAAGTGAAAAGAGAATATATAATAAATAAAATTAAAAATATTTCTGTGAGCATTAGTTTAGTCAATGTACATGTAAAGGTTTTCAATTTATGTTACACATCATGGGAAAAAAAGAAGATTTTTCTATGTTCTGTATTCAAGACAAAACTTCCCAAATGTAGCAATTACTTTTTTTAAAGGAATAAACAGCATGGTTAAATGTCTTGAAAAAAGTTTTAAGACATTTTTAAGGAGAAATTAAATCGACTTAAAATATTTTTCTATGAGTTTGAATTTAAATATATCTAATTTTACATTATTTCTCAATTTTTTGGTCGTAAAAGCATTTGAAATTAAAAGTGAACAAGCTAATTCAGAGAATTCGTGTCCTCCGCTTGGAAAAAGTGGATCCCCCTGACTGAATTTGTAGAATTATTAAATGTATAGATGTATACTGAAGCAAATAAAATACACATATGTCAATATGCATATAAACTATAAAGATTTGATTGCTTATTCTTTATTATGTGTATATAAGATTCTTTTTATATGGAATATTTCTCACACTGTAATGATGATTTTATGAGTTTGTAGAAACCAAACCTCATAATTTTTTCATTTACATGCTGAATACTTCATATAGTAAAACAAATTAAGTATTTCGAAAAAAAAAGAAAATGGACTGTTTGGATTCGAACCCGGGGACCTCTCACATATGAAGTGAGAGACATACCATTAGACCACGCAACTACCAACATTAGCGAAAATTATATGCAAAGATGAAGTCACATATATATATTCACGCTCGATATTGTCAAAATTTTACACAATGCATCTAATTTAACCTTTATTAAACAGTTCTGATAGATGTAATAAGAATATAAAGTCCACCGAGAACCTGATTTATACGTAACAACTTCCTCATGCCCCTGCGCTAAAAATAGCGACATGTAAAACAATAAATACTAATAAAACAAACGGGGCGGGACACTTTGAGAGAGGTGAGAGAGGTCCTAGGGAGGTTTGGTATAAAATTACATTGCAAACGCTCAAAATCCTCTTGAAATATCGCCTGGAAAGGATAGTGTTACACACAGACATAATGTATAAATTTATTTACGACCTTGAACTTTGACCTTTTGACCTCAAAATAAATAGGGATCTTCCAAAGGCCACATGGAGTTGTTATGTAAAATTTCATTGCAAAAGCTCAAAGGGTTCTCGAGATATCGCGCGGAAACGAAAGTGTTATAACAGACAGAATTTGCAAATTTATGACCTTTGACCTTTTGACCTCAAAATCTACTGGATTCTTCTTTAGCCCATAGGGAGTTGATATGCAAAATTTCATTTCGAAAGCTTAAAGGATTCTCGAGATATCGTGTGGAAAGCGTTACAGACAGAATGACGGAGGGACGGACAGACCCAAATTAATATCCCCCACTTTTCAAGCGGGGGAAAATAACAAGACTTAGATTTAACAGGCATATGCATTCTGTTTAAATTCAAACTGAGAATTTTTGGAGTCAAAGAACGACTTATTTTCATCAGATTGCAAGTTTGTGTTGCATGACAATATGATATTTATCCCATCGTAACCTGAAACGGTGGTTCTTTAAAATATAACATTTAGCTCCAATCTATCTCTGTTTACATTTTTTTCTAGTATATTGTGTTTCATAAGATGAACTTATATTTAGAATGTATTTTAATATGTTTTTTGTTCAGGGCCATTCTGACAAACAAGGCTTTTAGTTTTAATTATAGTTATGTACTTTGTATCTACAACTATATATGGGTTGTTACGTTTTAACAAAGCTGATATTCATCCGTACAAGATTCCTAATGATAAGGATAATTGGTACAAAGATTAAATTCATTATTCCCTTATCACTTATAATTGGCTCATTTTGGCCTGTTGATTAGCTTGATCTCCGAGTTACTTTGACTTTTTCACTTTCGTACATGTAGGTATGTCATGATATTGGTAAACTTCTGTTTGTGTTCAGAAATTTCTGTCTGTTTTTCTTATGCCATGTATAATTTTTATATGCAGTTTTTTTTCTTGAAGAATTCCTTTTAATTTGATCGATTCGGAAGAAAATATACATGAGTTCACTACTCTCTACCTTAAGCATAATCCTACTTCTAAGTTTTACCTTTTAACTATCTCAAATTCATTCATTCCTGCCTCTATTAAAAGTATGATATAAGACTGAGTTCAAAAGCTTCATTTCGCACTGATTTATAAAATATATACATACTGTATAATATTATGTATTTAGAGGTTATCCCGCATTATATGTATGAACCTGTTGGTCGTAATATTAATAATACGAGGGAGCGTGGTTTCCAAATTGTCCTTATGACCATGATCATCGGTTATCTACACAAAACCAACAGTATCATTTAAAGTAAGTGACTTGTCATTGTTTTCAAAAATTAATCATAATCAAATATACTTACGAAGTTCGATTTTATTTTTGTTTTTGAAAAATGTGCTTGATGAGACATGTTGATTTTATTTTAATCTATTTTAATTTTTACATTATTAAATTAATTAAGTCAAACCTTATATAAACTAAATTAACTTTTATTTTTACATGATACATACTCTCCTCGTACATAATAGAACAAATGACCTTCATTTTTTACATTAATTAAAAAATATTTTACAAATTATATATAATTGAATTTGTAGAATTAAAACAATCTAAAGCTCAATTATTTAAGATTTTTCAGTACATTTTTGATTTTATGTACAAAGTTTTCCGTGTTGGTTATATGTATAAATAGAAGGATATTGTAATTATTTACGACATACATACGAGTACCAATGATATCAATACCAAACAATATTATCAAATGAATACTAAAGTTTTTGTCTATATGGTCATGAGACTTTTTTCAGAGAAAAAGGGCCGGAAACAAATCAGTTACTTGATAATTAGGCAACATTTGGGATGTTCACAACTTCCAGACTTTTTATATGGAAAAATAAAACAAGAACCAGCACACTTTTTGTACTTAGTAAAAATCATATACTAGCTTTGTGGCTTTCTAATCGCCTATCCAATTTTTTTTTAGACCAATGAACTTCATCTTTACTGTGTTTTATAGGGTTTTTCTGAGAGATGGCAGTCAAGAGACATAACATTTTAAATGTTGTTTCAAGTTTACATATAACACTTTATTTTTAAACATCAAATAGGTTGCAATACAGTAACATAAATAATTAGGTATTTTATTTATAAATTAGATGAGGACAACACTAAACATAACAAACAGAAACAAAGGAAAGAACAATTCTGTTGATCTTGCAGAAGAAATGTCAGACTTTGTCATCATTTGTGCGATATTACTCCAAGTTCCATTGTTATCCTTTGGTTTTATTCCAAGAATATCACACATTATTTGATATAGCTCCACGTTAGCTATCGGTTTGCTCTCAAAATTCTTTTTGAAGGCTGCAATGACATGATAAAACAAAATCGTTCCAGTAATTAATCAAACTGTTTCAAAAATGTATATATAAACTAAGCTGGTGCGCAGAATCAGACATTTTTTTCTTAAAATTAAAAACCATATTGGTTTTGACCTAAACTTACCGGGTCCGGCTGCTCTGAAAATCGCCCTCATATCTGGATTAGTATTATCATATCCATGCATGCCTTTGTAGGTAGTTCCAGGTTTAAATTTATCCTTGTTTAATGACAAAAATTTAATTTTCATTAGTTTTTATTAATAGTAAAATAATCAAGTCTCGGTTCATCATACATCTCATGACAGCTGATCACAAGAAAAAATGAAAACATGCAGTTGCGTTCTACATTGTTAAATAGCATTTATACAAGTAGGCTAGGTTAATATTAATGAATAAAAATCGGTCATCGATCATATTCGAAGAGAGTACTGTGAAATTTAATAACGATTTAAATCTTTACAACTTACTGAACTGTGACGCAACATACACGTCATTGAAATATTAGTTCCCTTTTCCCCGCAAGCACTTTTTAGCGCGGTACAAGTTTCTCTAAAGTTAAGCGTATATAATTATGACGCAATACTTGAAATAAGGATATATTTTTCTTATTTTTTGAGATTTTATCAAGCATAAAATAGAAAGGAATTGACCTTAAATTGAAGATTAAATGTAATTTTGAAAGAGCGTGGAAAATGCGTGTTTGCGGGAAAACGGTATATGCGTGATTTTGCGTTAGAAATACGAAATGGTATATGCGTTGAAATGCGTGACTGCAGGGAATGGGTTTAATTTAATTTGCCTGAAAACACCAATAATAAACAAAATGCTCCTTTGTGAATTCGTGATGGAATTGTAGATATCCTCTAATAATATCAGACCAAGATTAGCATTTCAAAAGTTTTAAGGGATTATACAATTTTCAGTATCTTTTAATTTGATAAAAAGGTGTAAGTAGTTCCTCTGTCAATCAATCAAGCCGTAAATTTCCGAAAATATCATTATTAAAAATGATACTCAAAGATAAACATTTACATTAGGTTATAGATAGTTTTTCGATTGGCCTGGATTAAGGAAGATCTACAAGAAATAAATCTTACTTAATTCAGAGTAGTCCAAAACTATCTCAAAGCTCCATTGATTGTGGACAATGGACTGACAGCTCCAGATAAGGTGCGTATTTGCAGAAATACACATTAAATTTTACAAAATACGCATTGAAAATTAAAATAGAGCGTACAATTACGCATTAGCAATCATAGATACGCATTACACCACGAAAGTAATGCGTACAAGTTGAAGAATACAGGTACGACTTACTTAATGATACGAATTGAGGTTAACTCAGTGTTTGATTTTTCTCAAAACGAAGTACAGACTTAAAAGCCTTTAAGTGACAAGGAATATTCTAGTAATGACGACGACGACGATCTCCATTTCGGGAGGAAGAATCGGAAATTTAGATTAAAATCCATTTCTTTGTAGAAAGACTATGCACTAGGCATAATATATTATTATGGGTTTATGGGCCAATTTTAATCTCTCTCAACTTGCCATATTTGCGAAGATCTTTTCAGTTTACTCTTGATACGATATCTTAAATGAAGGAAAAGTTATCTGTGTCTCTGACTCTATGGTACAGTGTACCTTGACCTACTGTATAATCTTCCTTGTCAAAAAAGAATGCTTCCCAATCTTAGCAAAAAGTCTTGTTGGTATTTACAAAATTTATTTAAATAAATGCAGAATCTGCATGAGCTTTGATGTTTTTCCCACTTCGAAAGCTCGTACTTCGATTACAAGCTCAAAATAAAGGTTAAAACATTTCTATTTAAACAAAATACTCTTCAATCATTTTGCTGAAAATCAAAATCTGCATTGATTTGAAAATCAGGGAGTAAATACACTTTGGGGTAAAAAATTATCTGGAGCTCTGCAATGGACACTTCATTAATAACTTGATTTATCTCCTTTGAATCTCCATCAGTACATATAGAGATATACCGGGTATATAAGTACTTACTGCACATTCGCTACATTTCCATGGAGCTACTATTGCTGTTCCACTATCAGCTTCTATAACGATTGGTGCTGTACGTTTGTGGTTCTTCAGATGATAACGACCAGGAATTGATTCCTTTTTGTAAACTGTTATATTCGGCTTGTTTGCTATAGATAAATCGTTGTATACCTGAAATTTTTAAATGAATTTTTTTTTAAACAACCTATGAGAAGCGAGAACAAAAGTTAGCTCAACCAATTGCAAGTTTGATTGCCCTGGAGCCAGAGATGATAACGGTGTACAACTAA